AAAAAAAAAAAAAAAAAAAAGCAGGGCAAAACAGTCTGCTTTGAAATTTGTGCTCCAAAAACACCTCCTAAATTGAATTAAAATGTCATTTCAGTTTAGTCATCTCTCGAAGTTCCTAAACTTATGTAAAAGTGATTCTCTTCCACATCGTAACTGAAAAAGAAGGATGACTCATTTGATTTTAATTTTCAATGTCAAATCCCTCTATAGATTGAACAAAGTGAGAGGATGAAAATAATACTTTGTATTTAAAGACTATCTTTTAGGTTCAGAAAGGCAGACCTGAGTCATTTCAAGGCACAGGAAAAATTTCATTAGTTTAGTAAAAAGAAATCCTCTCCCTTAAAAAAAATCCCTCTTCGTAGTGACTACTGCCCTAACTCCTCTTCTAGTTAACGAGCAAGCACAGGCTGAAGTTTCCATGGGCGTCTCTTGCAAACACCAATGCGATTTAACTTTCCAGCGCTGAGGGTATCACTGGTCCAACACTAAATATTCTGTGTCTCTAGAGGGGCTACACAGTTGTACAGCAGAATTCATTAAATTGGCCAGGCCAGTGATGGGAAACCTTTCAGAGATGAGTGACCAAACTGCCACCCCAAACCCACTTTTTTATTGCAAAGTCCAACACTGCAACTAAAACCTGAATACTGAGGTTTTAGTTTAGAATAAACAACTCATACATTAACACCTTTTGTCTTAAAAGAAAAACAACATACATGCCATAGGTTCATCATCACCGCGCTAGGCTGTCCACACCTCACCTCCCTGCCCACTCTCCCACGGGAGGCAGCTTGGGAAGGCAGCAGATCTGCCCACCTGAGACCGCTTGGTGTCACTGGGCAAGAGCAAACTGCCTGTGTTCACACTGAACGTCCGGGTCTTGGTTTTCACTGGTTCGTTTGTTTCCCGGTACAGCCTCACTGGCGGTGGCTTGTTGGCCTTCTGGACCAGGTTATAAATGCCCACGGTGAATGCTGTATCTTTATCAAGTTTAAATTTTAATCTGAGAGAAGAAAAAATAAAAAGCATGGACTGAAAAATTACATCTATTTTCCTATCTAAAATTCCTTCTTGGAGGCCAAGCTTCAATTTGCTTCATTCTCTCCAACAATCCTAAGCAAGTTCAGAGATAAACATAGACAAGAACACAGAGAAGTGTTTTGTACATGAACCAACTCCCCACAACAAATGTGATCATTATGTACTGCTAAAGTACACTAATAAAAATTAAAAATATTTCTAAATGACTTTTAAAAAACCTACAAAGGATTTTTTTTTGGTACTGGGAATCGAACTCAGGACCTACCCAGCACTCAGGAGGCTGAGGCAGGAGGATCGCTGTGAGTTCAAGACCAGCCTGGGCTACAAAGTGAGCACAAGGCCAGCCTGAGCTGCATATCGAGACCCTGTCTCAAAAAGACAAAAAAAAAACCAAAAAGGCCAAACAAAAAAAAAACTCAGGACCTTGTGCTTGCCAGGCAGGCGCTCTGCTGTATATCCCAGCCTGCTTGTTTTATTTTTTGAATAGGGTCTCACTAAGTAGTTCAAGCTGGCCTTGAACTCTCAGCAATCCTCCTGCCTTAGCCCCCCATTACTAGGATTACAGGCTGGAATGCATTTAACACAACAGAATTTCCTATTTACAGGGTCTAAACCACCAAGATCAGACTGAGAACCTATTACCCACTTAGAATATGACAGAGGGCATACTGCTGGGCGGGATGGAGCTCAGCAGTAGAGCTTTTATCAAGCACACACAGGCCTGGGGTTTGATCCTAGCACTGTAAAATACTAAACCAAATGCCTGATCCACTTCAGAAAGAAACACAGTGACCCTTTAAGGTTCTGATATCAAGGCTCTTAAAAAGATGATCAGCCACATGTCAGCCTTTCAGCTAACATCAAGCACCAGAAGCTCATCTGACAGTCTTATTGGTCCCAACTGGTTAAGAACTCAGAACGAGGGCTGGGAAGGCAGCTTGTGGCACAGCACTTGCCTGGCGTGCATGAGGTCTTGGGTTCAATCTCCAGCAGAGAAAAAATGAGAGTGATATGATTTTAACAATGATAATAACTCAACGAATTTTTCCCCCATACTGCTCTGTTTTATGTTATTTCTTTGTTAAATTAATTACCACAGGTAACCTAACAAGGCAGGTGCTGTTATCCTCAGGACAGAGAAGAAAACAATGTATTAACACGTGCAGCTAGGGACATCCTGAGACTGCAAGGAGACAGAGGATAGCGCTGTCCTGCTAGCACTGGGCCAGCAATCTAGACACAGAGCAGGTTTTTGGAGGAGCGCACACAGCAGGTGTACAGCCAGGAACGTCAAAGCAAGCCACTGCCTATCCTTTCTCAGGGGACCTGTGAGCAGCTGATCGTGCCTCAGAGCCCACCTGGAGAGCACACGCTTCCTGGTCTCCTTGGCACGAACCTTCCTCAACAGGTCTTCCAGCTTGCTCGATTCCTCAAAGTGAACCCCAAGGTCCGCATCCTCTGCTACGCTAATGATATCTCTGTAGAACAAGGATATGTCAAAGCCTCCACGTTTCTTCAGGTGCATCAAGTCCAGAAAGATACCTGGTGCAAGGACAGATAAAAGTGAGAAGGAAAAACAATTTCCACCAAGAGAGAAAAAAAATTCTTAAAGGGATACAGTATACCCAGGCATGGTGTACATTTGTAACCTCAGTAATTCAAAAGGCTGAGGAACCTAAAGTTGAGGCCAGTCTGGCCAACAAGGAAAAACCCTGTCTCAAAAATAAAAACAGGGGCTGGATGTGGTGGCAGACACCTGTAATCCAAGCACTCAAGAGGCTGAGGCAGGAGGATCACTGTAGAGTTTGAGGCCAACCAGGACTACACAGTGAGCTCAAGGCCAGTCTGAACTACATAGGGAAACCCTCCCTGTCTCAAAAAAAAAAAAAAAAGGCTGGGGATATAGCTTAGCACTTCCTGAGTTCAATCCCTAGGCCACAAAAAAACACAGAGACAGAGACGACACTTTATGTTGCCCAAGGATGTCTAACCTCCTAGACTCAAGAGATTCTCCTACCTCAGTCCCCTCGGTGGCTGGGACTACAAGTATACACAACATGCCTGGTTCAAAAATTTATAGTTAAACTCAAATTTCATTTTATTTGTTTTTTTGGGGGAGTTTTTTGTTTGTTTTTTGAGATACAGTCTCACTAAGCAGTCCAGAATGATCTTGAATTTACCATGTAGCCCAGGCTGGCTCCAAACTCATGGCGATCCACGTGCCTCAACCTCCCACATGCTGGGATTATAGGTGTGCACCACTATGCCTGGCTTCTCAAATTTGATTTTGAAAGCTCTCCCTAAAACTAAATTGGCTATTAACATTTTCAGGACTTAAAGAAAGTGGCTAATCCAGGCATGGTGACAGGTGCCCGTAATCCCAGGCTTTGAGAGGCTAATGCAGGAGGACTGCTCAGAGTCTAAGGCCAGCCTGAACTTCATAGCATGACCCTGTCTCAAAAAAAAAAAAAAGTGGCTAAGTAAGTCAGTTATCATGACTTCAGAAAACTTACTCCAATACTGACTTTCACGTGAGACAAGACTGCTAGGGTAGAACCCTGTACACAGTATGGCAAAACCACTCAAGACCATTTTTGGTGTTAATATTACCCAGGTGTCTTCCCCTGGCTTCACTTTATTCTTGAACCCAAGGCCTTCACACTGAGCCATATCCACAGCCCTTTTTCACATTATTCTTTCCTTTCCCTCTGGATGGTGAAAAGCAAATGCTTGACATCAGCTGTAAAGAACGTAACAAAAGCTGAATGTTGTGGTGTGTGCCTTAACCTCAGCTACTCAGGAGGCAGCGCCAAGAGGACTGTAACTTTGGGCCCACCCTGGGCAACTTAGCAAGACCTTATGTTAAAATAAAGTTTAAAAAATAAAATAAGAAGGGCTAGGGATGTAGCTCAGCACTCCCTTGGCTCAATCCCCAGTACTGAGAAAAAAAAAAAAAGAGCAATAAAGTTAAGTGCCAATTGAAAGGACAAGGCAAATGCCCACCTGTGTCGCGGAGATCACTGGCCTTGGTCCTGGCCCGGCTCGCCTTGGCACTGTCCCCGCCATGGGGGTCATCGTCATTGGTGAACAGCATGATCCTCTTATGACTCATCTTGACCTGCACGTCGCTGAAGAGGTTGGCACAGACCCATAGCACTTCACTCAGCGAGTAGTCAGACCCGTGGCCAATCAGGTCTTGAAAATGGTTTTGTCCCAGCTGCCCCTTAAACCGGTCAAGCTCAAGCACTCGTTTAGCACCTGGTCAGAAGCAGAGTCGAATGCGCGCAAAAAACACCTGAGCATCAGCAGTAGCCACCTTCACCACAGGCAAACAGACAAGGGTCTCTTTTCACCCCACAGCAGTTTAACACACACAGTGAGGTCACATCCCAGCAAAGACCCCAGCACAGGAGACCACACTCCTAGACAGGACAGGACCTGCTCCCTCCTGCTCGGCCCTTTGTTGGACTGTGACACTCCCACGGAGGGAAACACTCGGACTATCACTGACCTGGATTATCCAGTTCTTGTAAAACGTAAATATTTTTGAAATTCACTGAATTTTTGTCTTTCTTGGTACCATAGAACACCACTCCCAAGAGATCTCGGTCACTGCTGATGATCTTACTCGTGTACACACACTCGATACACTGAAAAAAAGATCCAATGAATATTTACTTACCACCAAACTTCAGTTCTGTACGTGCCTGGCAAATAGTAAGTGCTGAATCTGTACATGGCACTAGAACAAGACATGACACCCTCGACCTTCGGGAAACTCAAGTCAGTGAGACTGATAGGCATATGAACATATGTATCAAGTTACAACGAAGTGGCACACACCTGTAACCCAGCACTCTGGGAGACTGAGGCAGGAGGATCACTAGTTGAAGCCCAGCCTGGACAACTTACCAACTTAGGCAAACCCTGTCTCAAAATAAAAATTTTAAAAATGGCTGAGGAAGTAGCTCAGTGCAAAGGCCCTGGGTTCAATCTCCTGAACTAAAAAAAAAAAAAGAAACAAAGTGCCAATATGTAACAGATACTTCCCTACCACAAGAAGCCAGAGAAGGATACACTTGTATATTCTCAGGGAGGAGACTGACCTATGGCAGCAAAAAAAAAAAACCAACACTGGCACTGGAAACCTGGAGTTGAGTCCCACCGACGTTACTTAACTGGCTGAGTGTGGAGAAATCACCTAGCAGCACTTCCTCAAGTATTCTTTTCTTTTTTTGTATCAAGAATCAAACTCAGGACCTTACACTTGCCAGGCAGGCACTGTGCAACTGAGCTATAACCCTGGCTCCCTTCAAGTATTCTCATACCAAGAAACAGTTCACATATCTAAAATGATTACAAGGGTTAAGTTAACAAGAAGTGGATGTGACCCGAAGACAAAATTGCTTAATTACACAGTTAGACAGCAGCATTCCAGCCACAGGAAAGGTGTGCTCACCTAAACTAATGGCAGCATCCAGAAAATGAGGCCTCTAAAGGGTTGGTAATTCCAGGGGAGCCTGTTTAATTCTGGGGCCACAGACAAAATTAAGTTTCTCAGTCTACAAACCAACCAACATATGTGGTGACCTTTACATATGCTGCCTGACAGGAGGATTGTTGTGAGGTCGAGGCCAGCCTGGGCTACAAAGTGAGCTCAAGGCCAGCCTGAACTGCATAGCAAGACCCTGTCTCAAAAAGACAAAAACAAATAAACAATAACAACAAAACAACATTTCCTGCCTGAGCCCCAACCTGGCCTTCCCTCACAGTAGTCTTTTTTCTTCTTCTTCCAGTACTGGAGAGTGATCCTAGGGCCTCCACACTGAGCTACATCCTCAACACTTTTCTATTTTTTATTTTGAGACAATGTCATTAAGTTGCTAAGTTACCTGGGTAGGGTTTGAAATGTCCATCCTTAAATGCAAAATTTATGACTAGTTACAATAATCTACATAGCAAGCAGTCATTGCTGCAAATATTTTAATCTACTCTTTGAGCTGTCTATAAGCTTTTACAAGAATTTGGTGAGAGCTCTTTCTAAATTCTAAGAATTTTAACAAAAACAAAAACAATACCTCTGTTGACCCAGCAACACACTTTTTTAAATTTATTTTTTGGAGACAGGGTCTCACTATGTAACCCAGGCTGGCCTCGAACTCTGGGGGTTCCTCCTGCCTCAGCCTCTCAGTGCTGGGATAACAGGCGTGCACCACCACGCTCAGCTTAGCAATACATCAGAAATAACACAGTGATTAGTATGGTCTGTGCAAGAAGATGAGGCAGGGATGTAGCTCAGCGGCACAGCACCTGCCTGGCAAATGCAAGGCCCTGAGTTTGATTCCTGGTACCTAAATAAATAAAGAAAGAAAGAAGAAAGGAAGAAGAGAAAAAGAAACTAAAAGAGAATTTTAGAAAATACTTTTATTGTTTTCTTATCGAATACTTGGTGTTCATTTGTAAATGTCTCATTCATCTGGTACCTAACACTGCTTTTTGTATTTTTTGATGATAGTGGTACTGGAGATCAAACCTAGGAACAGTCTATCACTGAGCTATATCTCCAACCCTTTTTCCTTTTTAACAGGGTCTCACTAAGTTACCCTGGCTGGCTTCAGACTTATGCTCCTGAGTTGCTGATATTACAGGCTGGCACTAGCAAACACAGCTAACCCTGCTACTTCTGCTTCAACGGCAATCAGAGGCAGCCATCCTGAGAGACTAACCACCACACAATATTCACGAACTTTTCAAAGAATCCATGTTTTTAAAAGTGGTGCTAGCCAGGCATGATGGAGCACATTTATAATCCCAGCACTCAGGAGGCTGAGGCAAGAGGATCACTGTGAGTTCAAGACCAGCCTGAGCTATAAAGTGAGCTCAAGGCCAGCCTGAACTGCATGGCAAGACCCAGCCTCAAAAAGATAAAAAAAAAAAAAAGAAACAAGTGGTGCTAATACTTTTGTTGTTTATTAGTTTTGGGGGTTTTTTTTTGGTTTTTTTTCCTGGTACTGGGAATCGAACTCACGACCTTGCGCTTGCCAGCCAGGCACTGTGCCGCTGAGCTAAATACCCATCCCCCTTTTGTTGTTTATTTATATCAAATAAAGAGGTAGTCTTACCTGGATGCTCATATCAAAAGGTGTCAGTTCATTCTCACCCTGAGATTCAAACATGGCCCTGGAAGCATCCACCAAAAAAATCAAACTATCTCTTCCTGAGTATTTATATTCTCCTATAGGGGAAAAAACCAGAAGGGAATGTTTATTCTTACACTTGTATTTACCACATTTACCACTCACACAAAACAGAGAAAAGCCCCTAAAGCAAAAGCATAAACTAGAGGTTTATAAGGCAGACACCCTTAAAAAACCATCACCTATGGCAGGCAACAGAAATAAAATTGCGTACTTACACAACTAAAGACATCGGTACCCCGGGGTCCATCCTATGTTCCCATCCAATTACAATACCCAGCTCGGCCCAAAGTAATTACTGTCCTGACTACTGATAATCACTTCCTTTTCTTGCCAGGCAGGCACTTGTACCGCTGAGCTATCTCCCCGGCCCACTTCCTTTTCTTTATAGTTTTACCATTCAGTGACATCCATAAACATTAAACATTAAAAAAGTGTTGACTTTTTAACAGATGTTTTTGGAGTCTCTTAGTCTATAGATCTTCCTCTATCTTCCCTTGTAAACTATCTGCTAAAGAACCGGGATGCTCCGACACATACATTTAACTTTCCTACACTCTTGAATTTCACTGACTGTATTCTTTGTTCCCCCCCACACACACCACCTCCCAGTGTAAGGGATTAACTCAAGGGCTCTCTAGCTCTCTACCATTGAACTACATCCCCAGCTTTTTAAATTTTGAAGACAGGGTCTCACTGAATAGCCCAGACAGGCCTTGCACTTAGAATCCTCCTGCATCAAATTCCCAAGTACCTAGGGTTACAAATGGGCACCACACCCAATACACAGTCTCACTGTCTCCTTTTTTTTGTTTGAGACAGACTCTCTAAATTGCCTAGCCTGGGCTCGAACTTGTGATTCTACCACCTCAGTCTCCTGAGCAGTTGAGATTACAGACATGTGCCATCTTATGCTACAGTGCTACTTCTTAATATAATAAACTTAATTAGCTGCCTTTTGGAAAACATAGCACTATAACTATCAAAAGTCGTAACAAAAACTATCTCAGTGGTGCACCTCTGTAATCCCAACACTTGGGAGGCTGAGGCAGGAGGATCATTGGGAGTTTGAGGCCAGTCTGGGCTACAAAGTGAGTTTAAGACCAGCGTGAACTGCATAGGGAGACCCTGTCTCAAAAAGACCAAAGAAAAAACTATCTTAGCCAGGTGAAACCTACCTCTTAACAATCTACCTTAAGAAGATATAGAAAAATCCTTGTGCAAAATTTACTACAATGTTATTTATTAAAAAGCAACAGGTTGATTCAATACCAGCCTGGGCTACAGCAAGACTCTGTCTCAAACAACTCCCCTCACCCAAAAAAAAAACCCCAAAGCAACAAATTGAAAATAACTAAAATGCCCAGCAGGAAACAGAATTACAGTACATTTAAAATAAATTACAAAGGCCGGGTGTGCACGCCTGTAACCCCAGCACTCAGGAGGCTGAGGCAGGAGGATAGCTGCAAGTTTGAGGCCAGCTTGGGCTTTAAAAAGTGAGTTCAAGGACAGCCTAAACTGCATAGTGAGACCCTATCTCAAAAAAAAGACAAAAAATAAATGAAATAAAATAAATTACAAAGACTACATATATATAACTGTGTAAAGATGTATCTATGGCACAAGGAAAAAAGAACACAAAATTAAGAATACATTCTAAAAATTCTTTTTTGAAGAAAAGTGATATAAATTAAAATAGAAACATACGTGCACTATGATTACAATATAAAAATCAGATACAAAGAAAAATGTATGAGTGTACTTAAGAGATAAATATTCAAAGACACATGACAGAAATATTGAAAATACCAAAATGAAGCAGGGCATAGTGGCCAGGCCTCTAGTCCTACCTACTACAGAGGCTGAAGCAGAAGGATTTCCTGAGCCCAGCAGTCCAAGGCCAGCCCAGGAAACATTATGATAATGGGACCCCAACACAAAAAGTAAAAAGAGAGCTTGGTGTGGTGGTGACCACCTGTAATTCTAGTTACTCAGGGGACTGAGGCAGGAGGATTGCGAATTCAAGTCCAACTGAGGTAGCTCGGCAAGAACCAGTCTCAAAATAAAAAGGACTAGAGATGTAGCTCAGTGGTAGAAATCTCACCTAGCATATGCAAAATACAAAATATAGGGGCTGGGGATATAGCTCAGTGGCACAGAGCCTGCCTGGCAAGCTCAAGGTCATGAGTTCGATTCCAGATACCAAAAGCCAAATCCAAACAAAAAAAAGTATAAAAAATAAAATGAAATAAAAATACAAAACGCTAGTGGTGGTTACTTCAGGGTGCTAGATATAGAGTACAGTAAGTTTTATTTTTTGTTTCCTATGTTTCCCACTTCTAATAAAAAACACTTTTTGCTGGGCGTGATGGCGCATGCCTGTAATCCCAGCACTCAGGAGGCTGAGGCAGGAGGACTGCTGCGAGTTCCAGACCAGCCTGGGCTACAAAGCAAGTTCAAGGTCAGCCTGAACTGCATAGCCAGACCCTGTCTCAAAAAGACCAAAAAAAAAAAAAAATTTTTTTTAAAAGCACCTTAAAACTTTCTACTCAGGAATGAAATTAATCAGAATATAGCTAACACATACCCTTCATTTCTCTTCCTTTGCCCTATGTATTACTGTATTGCCAAACCTGAGGGTTCTCCTTAACTGTGTCACTAATGTTTACTGTTCCATGGCTGCAGTTACTATAGACGGAAGGCGTTTTTACAGAGATCCTGGAATGAGTAAAACTACTTTCTTGAGTGAGGAAGGGTCTTACCTGAGCCACATAAGGTGACAAAGGATACCCCCGAAAAGGTTCACTTAATGGAGTTCAACAGATGTCAACCTACTGGTAACCAGAAAAAATGTAAGACTAGAAATGTCCCAAAAACATAAGAATAAATGAGCATAGGGTGCCTCTGCAAAGCTCAAAGCAGGGCAAGTATTTCAGATTATGTGGGGAAAGAAAGTGGGCCACCAGACAGACAGCAAAGGCCACCCAACGGAGAGCGGCAGGAAAGGTATTTCTGCTACACACAGGACAGCACCACAGGTTAAAGGCACTTACCACCTGCGTCAGGGCTCTCCTCCTCCTCCTCTTCCTCTTCATCGCCCTCGGATTTATAGTAAGACTCCCACCCTGACATGCTGGTTTCTGCTAAGTAAAAGATGAGGCAACAAGCAAATATTTTTTTTCTTCAGACATGAAGCTATCGTGCCCAGGGCAGTCTCGGAACTCGCGATCCTCCTGCTTCGGCCTCCGCAATACCTGGGATTACAGGAGTGCGCCACTGTGCCCGGCAGTAACACATCTATAAAACATGTCAACTTCTAGGCTCTTTTGAGAACTGTTACAAAGAATTGGAGTTACTAATGAGGATGGGTCCTTACACCCCGTGCGCTCTCGGTCCTTGGAAGGCAGCCTCACCTCAGTTGTCCGTTAGGGACGCTTCGAGGCCGGCGGTAGCCAAGGTGGCCGCTCTGACCGTGCGCTGGTGCAGCCCGACACCGGGGTCCCGCCTCTAACGCCATCTCGACCGCCAGGGTCCTCAGTCCTAGAGGGGACCTACGGTCCGCATTCCTCCCCAAAGCTCCCCCAACCGCGCAGCCGGCCACGCCCACTGAAGTCCACGCAGGCCCCGGATCTCACCTCCCCCGCGAACGGCTGCATCCAGCCGCGCTCCCTACGCAGGGCTCCTTACGCGGACGCTGCCTCCCTGGGAGGCGAGGAGAACGCCCCAGACTTGAGGGCCAAAGCAGGACGAAGCCAGTCCCGGGCTGCAAGCAACACGCACAGAACACAGAAGGCCTACCTCAGCCTCAGGGATCGACGCGCACCAGAAAACAACACGCACGCGCACGGTGCCGTTCGCGCTCCCCGCCGAGAACGCCCTACACGTCATTACGCACAGCTCCACCTTCTCCCTGGCTGGCTGACGCACCCACGCCCACAACCCCCCCTCCCGCACAAAAGTGCCTTGGAGAAGCCCCGCCCCTTCGGTGAAGCCCCGCCCCGCCGCCCGTCGGGCCTTACGCACATGCGTGGGAGTACGTCCCCGCCCCCGCCCCCGCCCCCTCTTCAGTGCAGACCCTCCCCGTCCCTTCTGTCACCTCACAGTAGTCGTTGCCGGTAGCGGGTGCTGGGGCGCGAGCAGCGCAGGGCCGCCTGTCCCCCGCCCCCCAGGCCGGGCCCGGGCTCGGTTCCCACCCCGCTCCCACCTCTCCACAACCCCGTCGGGTACGGGAAGGTCCCAGCTGCTGCCGGGTCCCCGAGGGCCGTCGTGGCCGCCGCCACGGGTCCCCATGGAGCCGCCGCATCTGTATCCGGTGAAGCTCTACGTGTACGACCTGTCCAAGGGCCTGGCCCGGCGGCTTAGCCCCATCATGCTGGGTGAGGGGTCGGGGCAGGGGGCAGATGGGGAGAAAGGCGGGCCGAGGGGGAGGACGCGGGGGCCGGGGGGTATGGGGGGAAGGACCGAGGGGAGAAGCGGGGTGTCTGAGGCTTGGGCTCCCCGAGCCCCGCTTTTGCATCTGAAGATTTTCATCCCGGGAGAAGAGATAGCGGAGTCACCGATAGAAGGGTCTCGGGCAGGGACCGTACCCTTCAGACCCCCTTGAGCGAGGGGTTCCGGCTGGTCCCGGCCTCGCCTCGGGCGCCCCCTCCCGCCTCTTCCCTCCGCGCGGTGCGGGGAGCTGAGGATGCCTCCCGCGGTGTCCCTCGTGGTGAGAGGGACACTGCAGAGGAGATTCTCGGGCGTCCCTCGGAGAGAACTTCCCTCCTCTCCGAAGGGGAACTCCTTCTGCAGTCCCCGAGGTAGATGGAGCCCAGCCATCGCGCGCTCCCCCCGTAGAGGTCAAGTCAGGTCAGTGGGAGCCCAAGTTCGCCCGAAACAAGATGGTCTTCTCCCAACAGTTTCTAAGTTAATTGCTTTGGCCCTGATATTAGGAGAATTCTAGGGGAGGATCGGGTGCTGTTGTATGAGTAAAGACTAGTAGAGGAAGTATTTTGATTGTGCTCCATTAAACCTCTTTTCAACCCAAATACCAGGAAGTCTTGTGTAGGAATTGCCAGCTTTGTAATTTCAGGTAATAATTGGCAAGAGAGGATTCTAGGAATTGAAAACTGAACAGCTTTGGCAATATCTGTTTGAATTATTGCTGTTTCTTGGCTTCTATGGAAACACTGGAGAATGAGTTAGTTGTTTGGTTGTGAACAAGTGGGTCAGAGATCAAGGAAGTAAGACTACTATTTTTTGGAGTTCCTGAAATTGAACCCAGGGCTCTATGCATGCTAGCCAAGCATTGTACCACTGAGCTACAGGCCCAGCCCTTTTTATTCTTTGAGACAGGATCTTGCAAAGTTGTCCAGGATAGCTCCAACTGGAGATTCTCCTGCCTCAGCCTCTCAGTGTGCTAGATTACAGACCTGTACCACCACACCCTGGAGGATTTTTTTTTAATCTCTTTTTGAGACAAGGTCTCGCTATGCAGTTCATGCTGGCCTTGAGCTCACTTTGTAGCCCAGGTTGGCCTCCAACTTGCAACAATCCTCCTGCCTCAGCCTCCCAAGTGCTGGGATAACAGGTGTGCGCCACTGCGCCCAGCTAAAAAAGAGGAGGATATTTTGAAGGGTGTCTTTTTAGTGTCTCTGGGTTTCTAATGTGCCATAATGAGTTGAACTTAATCCCTTTACCCAGTGCTAGTGAGGAGTTTCTATATTTGGGTTCACATCAGAATATCTATATTGTATTCTTTCAATATTTTGAAGAAATACAGATACTGGGTGGGGATGTAGCTCAGCGGTAGAGCACTTGCCTAACATTCAAAAGGCTCTGGATTTGGTCCCCAGCACCACCAAAAAAAGAACAAAAACCAAAAACCCTTTATTTCCAATATATATTGTTAAATGAGATCAGAAAAATTAAAAATGATTGTTTAATATGTAAACATGCATTTAAAGCAAAGGATATATATGTACTTACTTAAGCAAGTTGTTTTCTGGGAGGATACACAGGAAATTGCTAATGGTGGTAGCTTATGGAAACCAGAGCCTGATGCCAGCGGACAGGAGTGAACTTTTCTTTACTGTTTCAGATACCATGTATTCAAAGTAAAGGAAGTTCTAAATACATGAATTCTAGGCCAGGGATATAGCTCAGTGGCACAAGCACCTTCCTGGCAAGCACAGATCTGGAGTTTGATTCCTGGTACAAGTAAATAAATAAATAAATAAATTCTAAAGCCATACTTCACAAGTCCTAAATCAGAATCTCCTAGAATTTTGATCTATAAATCTGCACTTTAATAAGCTGCTCAGTAATTCTTATGCAGCTAACCCATTATTGGACAGAAGTTTGGGTCTAGCTCTCCAGTTGTTAAAATGTGTAAGGCAGGGCTCGGGGTATCACTCAGTGACAGCATTTTCCCCACATGTATAAGGCCTAGAATTCATTTTCCAGCAGTACACACACAAAAAAAGTAAGGCAAATGTGAAAGCAAAACTTACAAAGTCATTGTTTGGGGCAGTGCTAGTCATTAATAGATTACATCAGTCAAGTTTTAACTAAGTAAGGCGTGGTGGCACATGCCTGTAATCCCAGCACTCGGGGAGGCCGAGGCAGGAGGGAAGATCGTTGCAAGTTTGAGACCAACTTGGGCTACCACGTGAGCTCAAGGCCCGCCTGAACTACATGGCGAGACCCTGTCTCAAAAAAGACAAAAAAAAAAAGTTTTAACTAAACTTGGAATGGAGCCATTTTTTAGTTTGATCATGTTGAGGCATCACTTAAGATATTTCCTAGCCCCATGAAGAAGAGTCCCCCGCTTGCCAGGCAGGGTGGCACACACCTGTAATCCCAGCACTCGGAGGCTGAGGCAAGAGAATCAGCAGGAGTTTGAGGCCAGTCTGGGCTACACGGTGAGACTCTATGTCAAAAGAAAAAAAAGCCTCCCTCTATACACTGGCTATTTTTTGTTCTGTTATCTAATTGTTTTTCACTGAAAGAGGCCTCAGGAGTAACACTTCATTCATTCAGCAGATACTGACATGATTACTATATGCTAGTCAATGTATGGGAGATGTTAAAGATAGATAATACTCAAAACAAGTACAGATCTGTGTGATTTGTGCTGTTCAGGAAGCAAACTGGGTGCTAAGATAGAAAATAATAAGTGAGACGTATTGCTTTTTTTTTTTTTTTTTGGTACCGGGAATCGAACTCAGGACCTTGTGCTTGCCAGGTAGGCGCTTGTGCCGCTGAGCTATTTCCTTGGCCCCAAGACCTACTTTAAATAAGGGTATTGGAGTAGTCACTTTCAAGCTGGACCTTTAGGGTAAGGAAGAAGTAGCCCCTGGGGGCTGATGAGGAAGTTAAATTGGTCCAGGCAGAAGAGGGCTCAATCTGCCAAGGCCTGGAGGCAGGAAAGAGCCTGGCCTGGTACGAGAACTGAAGGCAGGTCTTGTGGGTATAGTGGGTGAAGGTGAAGTAGCAGACCTGCCCCCACCCTTTTAAGTAGGTATGAAATCCTGGAAGGCTTCATCCTGATGTGGGAACTTCACCAGTTTGTCTTACCAGGTTACAATGGTTTTTCTGGGGATATCACTTTGCTTACAAATCTATTTCTCTCTTTTTCTCATATTACCTTTATGCCTTTTATAGAGGCAGTGAAGAAGGGATTCACAAAGGCAGTGGTCATTACTTTCTAGAGTTGAAGGCTTGTGAAAAATAGGCATTGCCTTGCTTGTTCATCCCACCCAAATAACCTTAAATAAGATCAGGCGTATCCCAGTTCTATTTCTTTAAAGAATCAATTTGCTGAATTTTGTAATGAATTCTAGAAGTATCAATAACCAGCACTTATGGAGCGTTTACCATGTGCCAGATCCTTTTCTTCTGAGTATTTTGCCTTCATAAGAATCTTCACCACACCTCTATAAGATAGGTCCTGTTGCTATCTATACTTTTCAGTTAAGAAATCTAGTACAAAGAAAGTTAAACATTTGCCTCAAGTTATACAGTTAGTAAATGGTAGAGTAGGGTAGTAAACACAGATAGTCATTCTCCATACCATCTCTACTGTGGAGTGTGTTCTCTGGTGCCTGATATAAATCAGGTACCTTGTTCAAGTGTCAAAAGGCATCCATAGCCAAATGTTCCAAGTTCGGATGAGAGAAAAAAATCTGGGTTCAATATGTATGTGCCATTCACAATCTAGAGTGAGGATTATCTTCTTAGTCTTCCTTTTCCCAAACTAAATATATACTATCACACTTTAGTTATGTTCGTTCCCCATTGTAAGACTTCAGCCAGCTCTGTTATAGTTCATAACTGGACCAGATAACACCCAGCGAGTTCCCTCCCAACCATGCAGATTCCATACTTTACTCTGTCCTGTGTTCAGTGTCTTAGAATTGCTTCCCATGAAGGTATTCCTATTGCACGGTTCATTTGCCACCAAAATGGTCCCACATTATCTTTAGCATTCTAATTGAGCAGACAGCCTGAATGCCCCTTTTCCCCTACTACCATCTGCCCAACATAATTAGCTATTATGACTGTCCTTCAGTTCATTCTCTTAATCATTTTAGCTGCTTTTCAAATTTCTTGACTTTTGCCGGGCTTGGTGGCGCACGCGTGTAATCCCAGCACTCAGGAGGCTGAGGCAGGAGGATCGCTGCAAGTTCAAGACCAGCCTGGGCTACAAAGTGAGCGCAAGGCCAGCCTGAACTGCATAGCGAGACCCTGTCTCAAAAAGACAAAAAAACAAAACAAAACAAAACAAATTTCTTGACTTTCTTTTATGCCAAAGTATATGAGATAAATGTACACTTTTTAAATTGTGCTAAGAGGTACACACCTTCATTATTTGTTATTTTCTGATCTGGTGTTTTATATGCATGCACACATTGATATTTATTTACAAATTCATCTTAAAATTGTTCTCAAGTTTGGGCCGGGGATGTAGCTCAGCAGCAGTGCCTGCCTGGCAAGTGCGAGACCCTGAATTTGATTCCCAGGACCCCCACAAAAAAATTGTTCTCAGGTTTGAAGATTTGGGAAAAGATAGATAGATAGATAGATAGATAGATAGATAAATAGATGGATGATTTCTAGACAAAATGCAGTATTTTTATTTTTTATTGAGATGGTCTCATTATGTAACCCAGCCTGACCTTCAGCTCTCAACAGTCATCCTGCCTCAGCCTCCCAAGTGCTAGGATTACAGACATGTACCACCACACCCAGCTAGGCAAAATGCAATTTAATATTTGAGATTTTACTCTATGCTCAGTTTCTTGCTTAATTCTGAAGTACAAATAGTAATATCCCCCCAAATAAGGTGCATGCACATACAAAATTAGATTAACAGTATAAAGATATGATCAGATAC